CGGGCTCGTGATTTAGTATTGGGGGGAAGCCCGGGCTCGTGGTTTAGTATTGGGGAAGTTTGGGGGGAATTTCTATTTCAAAGATTTCAAAGATTTCAAAGGTTGCAAAAGGTTTGGGAAACTTCCCGGGAGTTTCCCCCGCCTTTTGCAACCTTTGAAATCTTTGAAATCTTTGAAGTCTTTGAAATAGAAATTCCCCCAATACTAAATTACGAGCCCGGGCTCGAGCCCGGGCTTCCCCCCAATACTAAATCACGAGCCCGGGCTCGTAATTTAGTATTGGGGGAATTTCTATTTAGGAGGAGTCATGTTATGGGACGCCCCATTAAGCAAAACAATTGGGAGGATGTCTGAGGAAAGTTTCTGTTCAAAAAGATTGAAAGGTCCACAGGAATGAACTTAACCATGCATGTCTGTTTCAGGTGTTTGAAGGGTCCGTCTGTTTCAACAAGCCAAACAAGTAGGAGGAGTTATGGAATGCCCCGCAAATTAGAAGTATGCCCACCAAGCAAAGCCCTAGGCGCCCCTAGACCCTAAACCCTGATTAATATTCATATGAATTTCAACTTTCGTTTGGTTATTCGTATAGGCAAAAGCAGTCTTGTTAACTTATTGAATTTTTGAAAAAAAACAACTAAGTGACTGTCCTAGCAGAGCTGCCATGATGAAAACGTTGCTCTTTCGGACCCTTCCTTTTCGTTGTACAAGTTCTCCGCACTCCCAGCCGCGAAAGGGCAGAACTTTGTTAACACCATTATGGCTTTGTACAACAAATGCCATGGAAACGGAAGGGACAGGGGATAAACTTCTGTAAACCTTTACTTCAAAAGAACAGGAAACAGAGAGATCAGAGGAGTAATGTACGCAGACGATAAGGTAAGAAGGGGGACCAGGATAACTTGTCACTCCATCTCCCCTCTTCCTTCCTCTCCTCCTTTTCTCGCGAATGAGATATATAGGAAGAAATGGTGAGGAAGAACAGACTGAAGTGGAGAGGAAAACTACCTACCTCTCTACCTATCCCCCTCTCACTATCTCTCTCTCTCTCTCTCCCTCCCTCTCTCTCTCTCTTTCTCTCTCTCTCTCTCTCTCTCTCTCTCTCTCTCTCTCTCTCTCTCTCTCTCTCTCTCTCTCTCTCTCTCTCTCTCTCTCTCTCTCTCTCTCTCTCTCTCTCTCTCTCTCTCTCTCTCTCTCTCTCTCTCTCTCGCTCTCTCTCTTTCCTCTCTCTTTCCTCTCTCTTTCCTCTCTCTTTCCTCTCTCTTTCCTCTCTCTTTCCTCTCTCTTCTCTCATTCTCTCTCTTCCACTCTCCCTCTCCCTGTCCCCCGCTCTCACTCTCCACTTCTCCTTCCTCCCCGTCATGTGTTTTCTCATTGAGAAGGAGACAGGGAAGAAAGACTGGGAAAGGAACGCTCCCCCTGCCACCCCCCCATCGCAGACATTTCTTACGTATCAGAGTCCAGAAACTGAAGAGCAGCAAGCAAGAGAGGAGAAAGTAGACATAGGCCCATAGGCGGGGGCATGACCTCTTTTTTGTTTCTGCTTTGTCTTTTATCCTTCTTCTTCCTTGTTCTATGAGAGCGCAGGAAAGGAAAGGAAAGGAAAGGAGAGGTGGGTAAAGTCCGGGAACACACGACAAGACAAGGGAACGGAGAGCTTGTCGTTCCCCCCTTCCCTTGCTCAGCCTTGCCACATCGAGGCAGACAAAAAGGCAAGGAGGACGAGCGCACAAAAGGAGGCCCATTTGTGCATGTCTTCCTTCTGCTCTTTCATTCCTTCCTTTCCCACTGTTGTCAGAAAAGAAGCAGCAAAGAGAAGAGACGAAGAGAGGAGAGGAACGAAGAAGGATTTGGAGAAGGGGGCGGAACCCTCTCCTTTCCTTATGTCTCCCTTCCTATCGTTCCTCCCTCTTTCACTTTCATTCTCTCATTCTCTCTCTTCTTCTCTCCCTCTCCCTGTCCCTCGCTCTCACTCTCCACTTCTCCTTCCTCCCCCTCGTGCGTTTTCTCACTGATAAGGAGACATGGAAGAAAGACTGGGAAAGGAACGCTCCCCGTGCCACCCCCCGTCGCAGACATTTCTTACGTATCAGAGTCCAGAAACTGAAGAGCAGAAAGCAAGAGAGGAGAGAGTAGACATAGGCCCATAGGCGGGGGCATGACCTCTTATTTGTTTCTGCTTTATCTTTTATCCTTCTTCTTCCTTTTTCTATGAGAGCGCAGGAAAGAAAATGAAAGGCGAGGTGGGTAAGAAGGCCCCCTCAGTCTTCCCGCAACTCTCTGGGGAAACACGACAAGACAAGGGAACCTTTACTTCAAAAGAACAGGAGACAGAAGAGAACAGAGGAGTAATGTACGCAGATGATAAGGTATGAAGGGAGAAGCGGGAAAAAAGGCCCCCGCAGTCTTCCCGCAACTCTCCGGGAATACACGACAAGACAAGAAAACGGAGAGCTTGTCGTTCCCCCCTTACCTTGCTCAGCTTTGCCACATCGAGGCAGACAAAAAGGCAAGGAGGACGAGCGCACAAAAGGAGGCCCATTTGTGCCTGTCTTCCTTCTGCTCTTTCATTCCTTCCTTTCCCACTGTTGTCAGAAAAGAAGCAGCAAAGAGAAGAGACGAAGAGAGGAGAGGAACGAAGAAGGATTTGGAGAAGGGGGCGGAACCCTCTCCTTCCCTTATCTCTCCCTTCCTATCGTTCCTCCCTCCTTCACTTCATTCTCTCATTCTCTCTCTTCTTCTCTCCCTCTCCCTGTCCCTCGCTCTCACTCTCCACTTCTCATTCCTCCCCCTCGTGCGTTTTCTCATTGATAAGGAGACAGGGAAGAAAGACTGGGAAAGGAACGCTCCCCCTGCCACCCCCGCGTCGCAGACATTTCTTATGTGTCAGAGTCCAGAAACTGAAGAGCAGAAAGCAAGAGAGGAGAAAGTAGACATAGGCCCATAGGCGGGGGCATGACCTCTTTTTTGTTTCTGCTTTGTCTTTTATCCTTCTTCTTCCTTTTTCTATGAGAGCGCAGGAAAGAACAGGGGTGGGTAAAAAGGCCTCCTCAGTCTTCCCGCAACTCTCCGGGAAAACACGACAAGACAAGGGAACCTTTACTTCAAAAGAACAGGAGACAGAAGAGAACAGATGAGTAATGTACGCAGATGATAAGGTATGAAGAGGGGCCAGATAACTTGTCACTCCATCTGCCCTCTTCCTTGCTGTCCTCCTTTCTTCTTCCTCTTCTCTCCTCCTTTTCTCGCGAATGAGATAAATGGTGAGGAAGAACAGACTGAAGTGGAAAGGAAAACCACAGAAAGTTGCCACGCCTTGCGGTTGCTCGCCTTTCCTCTTCATTATCTATCTATCTATCTATCTACCTACACCCTCTCTCTCTCTTTCTTTCCTCCCTCTTTCCTCTCTCTTTCACTCTCATTCTCTCATTCTCTCTCTTCCTCTCTCCCTCTCCTTGTCCCTCGCTCTCACTCTCCACTTCTCCTTCCTCCCCCTCATGCATTTTCTCATTGATAAGGAGACAGGGAAGAAAGACTGGGAAAGGAACGCTCCCCCTGCCACCCCCTGTCGCGGACATTTCTTACGTATCAGAGTCCAGAAACTGAAGAGCAGAAAGCAAGAGAGGAGAAAGTAGACATAGGCACATAGGCGGGGGCATGACCTCTTTTTTGTTTCTGCTTTGTCTTTATCCTTCTTCTTCCTTTTTCTATCAGAGCGCAGGAAAGGAAAGGAAAGGAGAGGTGGGAAAAAAGCCCCCCGCAGTCTTCCAGCAACACTCTGGGAAAACACGACAAGACAAGAAAACGGAGAGCTTGTCGTTCCCCCCCTCCCTTGCTCAGCTTTGCCGCATCGAGGCAGACAAAAAGGCAAGGAGGACGGGCGCACAAAAGGAGGCCCATTTGCGCCTGCCTTCCTTCTGCTCTTTCATTCCTTCCCTTTCCCACTGTTGTCAGAAAAGAAGAAGCAAAGAGAAGAGACGAAGAGAGGCGAGGAATGAAGAAGGTTTTGGAAAGGGGGGCGGAACCCTCTTTCGCTTATCTCTCCCTTCCTATTCTTTTCATCTTTCCGGCGGTTCCTTCCATAACTTGGACTTGTGAGAAAGCGACGAGAGGCCAAGAGGAGGGGGGTGACTCGCTATTGTGTTACTTCATAGTTGTTTCATTTTTCTTGAAAAAGAGAAAGGCCCCCTCCGACTTGTTTCCAAGGATGAGTGAGTTTGCTAAGCCAAACCCAACTCTGACATGCTTCAGGCATAGAGCATTCAATGGTTTTAATAGGGAAAGAAGGACAAGACCTCACATTATACCTAAAGGTCCATGGCACATGGGGTTTATAGGCTTTATAGGGTTTATCGGGTTCATAGGATTTATAGGGTTTACAGGGGTTGCCGGGTTTACAGGGGTTTTAAGGTTTAGACTTCAAAAAATCCGGGGTCCTCCTGCTGGACCATACCCTGGCTGACCTCCACCAGGGTTGCCACCGGCGGACGGACCGCCTGGGACTGGGGCCCGTGGAAACGTCTCCAATACCAACAAAAACCGAGGCGCGTTCCTCGAGAAACTACTGCCACTATGAGATACGCAAAGGCTTCCTTCCGCAGACCCTACTCCCTGCTCCCCAAACCCTGAACCCTAAGCGAAGAAGCCCGTCATTGTAAACGACCATAAGCCGTCAAACTCACCCCAAGAAAAACTTGATTTATAATAGGGTTTGGGGGTTATTATAGTATAAGAAAACAGGGACCATGAGGGAATACTATTCGTAATTAGTCCGCCCCCTAGATTATGTGTTCCCTAAACCCTGAACACGCCCAAGATCTGGGCCTATCTAGATCATGGTTGGGATACAATTAAAGATTTAGATTTCTCTTCCTTACTGAGTTTAAGTACCCTTAAACATGTAAAATGTTACCCCACTCTGACAAAGCTATCGTCTCACAATGAGGCCTATGGCCTGCAACCCCCCCTGCGACCGGCGCCCTCGAGCGCGCCTGCGTCAAGATCTGCTTTAGGGTTTAGGGTTTAGGGTTTTGGGTTTAGGGTTTAGGGTTTAGGGTTTAGTGTTTAGGGTTTAGGGTTTAGGGTTTAGGGTTTAGGGTTTAGGGTTTAGGGTTTAGGGTTTCCCGCCTGCGTCAAGATCTTCGTTGACGCCGAGGTGGCCGCGATGGAGCCGTGCATGGCCAGCCAGACGCCAACAATGCCGAAGATGATGCACGAGAAGACCTGAAAGCCCTAAACCCTAAACCCTGAACCCTAAACCCTAAACCCCTAAACCCCAAACCGAATTCCTCAAGCCCTTAAGTGCCCTCAGGCGCTGAAGCCCTCAAGTTCCCAAAACCTGAAAGTCCTGAACACACTTGGGGGGGGGGGGTAGAAACCTCCCGAAAGAACCCTGAACCCCTGATCTTGGGCCTCTAGATCTTAAAGTCTCCCCCAAACCTGGGTTCTCATGCTGAGGGTTTAGGCCAGAGTCTATGTATACGACAAGATTGCTCCTTGGCTGACTTCTGAACCCCTCCTAAAGGTTTAACTTCTAGGCTCCTTCTTCTATTTTCTGCAACCACCCCAACAAGCTAAAGCCCTGCGAGCCAGCCAGAAGAAAGCCAAGTTTTCAGGGACCATGTAACTACCCCTAGAGTACGTCCTATAAGCCCAATAATGCCCTAGAATCCCTATAAACCCTATTAAGCCCGATTAAGCCAAAGTAAGCCCGGAGGTCTGAATAGCCCGATGAGCCCGCCCCGCCCCCCTGCGAGTCCCGTGTGGTCAGCCGCTACTCGCCACTCATGCGCCAGAGCGGACAAGTCCCCTAAACCCTAATCCCTAAACCCTAAACCCTAAACCCTAATTCCCCTCAGACCCACCCAAACCTGCTGAGCTCGAGACTGCAATCCGGAAGTCTGAATCAGGCAACCTTCAATCACTTGCCTGTACTCCGGGAAATATGGGATTCTCCACTACCCCCGCACAAAAAGCCCAACTGAGCCTTGTCTAGACCTCAATCTGGACGGGGTGCGGGGTCGTGTGGGGGAACTTCCCAACCGGAAATGTGCATTTCCCAAAAACAAAGGGGGTACCACAGAAGCCAACTAATATAGCCCCCAAAACCGGTACCAAAATTTCGGGAAACCCCAAGCACACTCTATGGGATTGTTATTGTTTGAAGCATTGAGTCCCCAAAGCCCCCCCCCCCCTACCAGGGTTTAAGATTGAGGATTCCGGGTTCACGGCTTAGGATTTAGGGTTTAGGGTTTAGGGTTCAGGGTTCAGGGTTCAGGGTTCAGGGTTGAGTATTTAACACATGCAGCCGGGAAGCGCTGTTGTTCCAAATGACGACGAGCCAGGGCGGCTCCATCGGGAAGGTCGGATACCTGGTTGTCAATCAGCTGGGCTTCGCCCCGAGCCCTCAAATCGTGAGTCCCAGGCCAGAGACAGCAATCTTGGCCACGGAACAATCCCCACAGTCATCTGGACGGTCGAAAGCGCACAACCCTGAAGCCCGAAGCCCGAAACCCGAAACCCTAAACCCTAAACCCGAAACCTACCTTAAACCCCAAACCCTGAACCTCAAACTCAACTCAGCGGGGAAGAAGGCGTTGATGTTAGGGTCGAACACACAGGCGGGCGGCCCAACAGCCATGAAGTTCATGACCGAGGCGATGATCAAGACCCCCACGACCTCTGGGGCTGGAGGCTTCGGGATTCGGGTTTAGGGTTTAGTTTAGGGTTTAGGGTTTAGGGCTTAGGGCTTAGGGCTTAGGGCTTAGGGCTTAGGGCTTAGGGCTTAGGGCTTAGGGCTTAGGGCTTAGGGCTTAGGGCTTAGGGCTTAGGGCTTAGGGCTTAGGGCTTAGGGCTTAGGGTTTAGGGTTTAGGGTTTAGGGTTTAGGGTTTAGGGTTTAAGTTTTAGGGCTTAAATAATTACAATGGGGCTTTGGGACTATTATAGTATCACTTTTGAGGAACCCTAAGGGAATACTATTCGTAGCTACTCTGACCCTGGACTTCGGCGCTTCGGGGTTTCGGGTTGAACGTTCAAGGTTGCGAAATCCCCCGCTGCACGCTCGAAAGGAACCCTCAATATTCGCAAGGGGTTTAGGGTTTAGGGTTTAGGGTCTAGGGCTTAGGGTTTGGGATTCGGGCTTCCCCTCTGGATTCTTACCCCACAAAAGTGAGGTTCGGGGCTAGGTGTGGCGGACTCTAGGATTGATGGTTTAGGGGGCTCTAGGCGTTGAGTGCCTTCTAGGGTCTCAGGGCCCTAAACCCCGAACCCCTTATCTAGGAGGACTTGGGCTGTCCCTTCTGAGCTTCAGGGGCTTAGGGTTTAGGGTTTAGGGTTTAGGGTTTCGGGTTTAGCGTTACGGGTTTAGGGTTTAGGGTTTAAGGTTTAGGGTTTAGGGACAGCACTCCTACATGGATGCTGGCTAAGAGCCATGTAGTTGTCCATGTTGGCGCGCGTGAGCTCGAAGACGTCGCGCACGTCTTCGCGGAAGAGCTTCCAGAGCTCAATTCTCATGTCCTAGGGGTTTGGCGTTTAAGGTTTAAGGCTTAGGGTTTAGGGTTTAGGGTTTAGGGTTTTAGGTTTTAGGGTTTAGGGTTTAGGGTTTAGGGTTTAGGGTTTAGTTTAGGGTTTAGGGTTCGTCCAAGATCGCACTTCGGAAGTGCCGCAGGCGAGACCCTCAACCCTTCTGCCATCAAATTGGGCACCAAGCCCTAAACCCCAAAACCCCAGAACCCACACCCCTAAACCACGAACCCAAAGCCCCAAACCCTAAACCCCAAAGAAGAGCATGGGCTTTAGGGTTGCCGGGTTTAGGGTTTGGGGTTTGGGTTTAGGGGTTAGGGGTTTAGAATTCAGGGCTTAGGGGATAAAAGGTTTAGGAAGTTTAGGGTTCAGGGTTTAGGTTTTAAGGGGTTTGGGGTTCAATACCGGGGCAGTTCACTCCCGCGAAACCTACAAGTTAAGATACTACCGACAGAGATCCCTATGACCACCTGAAGTATGTAGGGTTTAGTGCTTACGGTTTAGGGTTTCGGGTTTCGGGTTTAGCTCCTTAAAGGTGCGTGGGAGCCCGCCTGGTAGTGATATTGGGACTCCTGCTGCAGTTTGGCATCGAACTTGAACCGATTCAAGTTGTAGCCTCGGTTTAGGGTTTGGGGTTTGGGGTTTGGGGTTTAGGGTTTAGGGTTTAGGGTTTAGGGTTTAGGGTTTAGGGTTTAGGGTTTAGGGTTTAGGGTTTAGGGTTTAGGGTTTAGGGTTTAGGGTTTAGGGTTTAGGGTTAGCAATCGGGTTTCGCGCTTCCAAACCCTAAACCTCTAGTACTCGAGTATACTACTCTGACCAGCCTGGGATTTTTCTACTGTAGGGGTCGAAATTGCAACTGAGAGTATGACCTTGCGGTCCCTCTATAACTATACTTAAAACAACTTGGGATGTTTCCCCTTATTGGGGTTTTCGTACCCCTCATTATAATCTCAATTAAGGACTGTTAGTATAAGGGGAACATCCCAACTAATACCCCCCAAAACCCTATTAAACTTATTGAGGTCCCTATATCTAAACGCGGAGGATGGGAAAAGGAGGTGGTACAACATTAAGAAAGGGAGATGAGGGAGATAAATGCGGGATTTTAGGCTTTGAGAGTACTTGAACCCTGAACCCTAAAACCCTACACCCTAAACCCTCAAATCTAAACCCAGAGTTTTAGGTTTTAGGGGTTTCGGGGGCTCTTTTGGATATCGTTCGATCAACTCTGCGGGCCACTTGAGAAAGGGAGCCGACCAATTGCGAGAAGGTTTAGGCATATAGTGATTTAGGGTTACGGGTTTAGGGTTTTAGGTTTTAGTCTTTAGGGATTCAGGGTTTAGGATTCTACTGTAGGGCTCAGAGCCTAGGGCTTAGGGTAACTTGGTAGCTTGGAGCAACCTCTCGATTCTTTGGGGGGTTCACTCCACTGCAAATCCTGAGCCGGCACGCTCCAAGATCCAGGACCCCCGACGAACTTCATTGAAATCGCGATGGAAAGAAGACTTGGGTTTTGGGTTTAGGGTTAAGGGTGTTGGGGTTTTAGGGTTTGGGTGATCTCCGGTATGAGCCCTTTGTTTGGCGCGGGTGGGCATGTTGGTTGCATCTTCTTGTTGAGTGTGCGGACACCGAACCCTAAACCCTAACCCCAAATCCTAAACCCTAAACCCTAAACCCTAATCCCTAAACCCTAAACCCTAAACGAGGGTTTGCGAATGCAGTGCTACCTAGGACGACTACCCAAAGCAATCCCATGAAGGCCCAGTCCTGAACCCTAAGCCCCAAACCCTGAGCCCTTCTTTTGCAACCCAAGCTCCTCTCCTTCAACAACCCTAAACCCTAACCCTAAACCCTAAACCCTAAACCGTAAACCCTAAAACCTAAACTAAACCCGAAACCCTAAACCCTAAACGAAAGCCGCGGAGCTGTATGCATAGGCCGCCAGGCCCACCGCCGAGGCAAGCCCCGCAGCAAACATGGCTCGAGATGCTTTGCCTCACCCTTCAGTCGTGCCCCTAAGCCCTAAACCCTAAACCCTAAACCCCAAACCCCTAGGGGGTCCCAGGCCCTGCTGCGGAGGTAGTGGGACGTCCGGTTGCTGAAAGCAACTGGGCTGGAGATGGTTCCATCCTGGGACTTCCCCGCATTTTCGGGAAGACCTCCCAACGTAATCATGCCTTCGGGCCAAAGCACAGCGGGCAGAAGCTGCGCAAGCCTAAACGAGAGGCGGGCGTGCCCTGGGCAGTTGCAATACTAGCCATGGACAGGGGCTCTTGCTACCAAATATGTGGATCCCTACCGACTGTCCACGCAGCTCATTTGACCTGTGGCTGGTGTCTGAATTAAGTTGCCGTAACAGGCTTTCGTTGTAGATGACATAGCCAGCCGTTACCACGGTACCTCCGGAACCTGAGCCCGTCTTAGTTTTAGTGCTTGTTTAGGGTCCCCCTCTTTTGGGCCGTGCGCCCTAAGCAAAGACCCCAAAACCCCCCACAACCCCCAAACCCGCCAAACCCCCCCCCCCCGTTCCATAACCCCCCAAAAACCCTCCAACACCCCCCGAAACTCCCGAAACCCCCTTAAAAAGCTCCTGAACCCTAAACCGAGTTCAGGGTTTAGGGTTTAGGGTTGAGGGTTGAGGGTTCAGGGTTCAGGGTTTAGGGTTAGGGTTTAGGGTTTAGGGTTTAGGGTTTAGGGTTTAGGGTTTGGGGTTTAGGGTTTAGGGTTTAGGGTTTAGGGTTTAGGGTTTAGGGTTTAGGTTTAGGGGTTAGGGTTTAGGGTTTAGGGTTTTGGGTTTAGGGTTTAGGGTTTAGGGTTTAGGGTTTAGGGTTTAGGGTTTAGGGTTTAGGGTTTAGGGGGGTTTAGGGTTTAGGGTTTAGGGGGGTTTTGGGTTTTGGGGAAGGGCTTCGGGTAAGCGTTTTAAGGGGTTTGAGGGTTTTTCTGCGCTTGGGGGCTTGGAGGTTTTTGGGTTTTAAAAGGGTCGCCCCCAAACTCATTTCCAGCACCGCTTTGCTTTATCTGCTACGAGGAGAAGATCTTGAACCCCCACAGAAAGCTTTCAACCACACAATCTTAACCCCGCTGGAGGTTAGATTTGCGGGATGGGGTTCAAAAACCCTAGACCGTCACCCGAAGCCCTGAACCATAAACCCTACAACTGAGGAGTTGCAGAACATGTGAGCAACGCATAACGTCTCCAGCCCTACTTCGCAGGGTGTACTTGGAGGTTCATGGTACTTATTTACCAATTATAACTGTACTTCTGACTGTACTTATAACCATATTAGGGCACTTGAGGATCTTATAAGTGGGTTATAGGTGCAGTTACAATCGGTTTATGAGTACCATGAACCTCCAAGTAGGGACACCTGCAAAGTTGAGAGCCAGGCCGAGCGGGCTTGTCCGAAACCTGCGACCGGGCACATCCCCTAATTAATGTCACTATCAAGCCGAGGTCGTCGACATACAACACCAAGCCCCGAAACAAACCGATTTGCGCCAGTGCAGACCCCAAACAGAGCCCAGAAGTCCGAAAGTCGCGACAGGTGCGCATTTCCCAAGCCCAGACGTCCCAAAAGCATGGACCGTTTGAAACACCGCGAGCGCCCACATCCAGAAGCGATGACACTTGCGAGGACGGCGAGCGTGGCCACACCGTGTCTGGGCGAGAGCGCGATTCTCGTGCCAAATGTAAGCAGGTTCATGACCATAGCATGGTCCAGGCCATTGACCTCGCCCCTCTTAGCCTGCAAGTTGAAACCCCCTCAGTGTTGACACACTGTTGGAATACGAATCCTCATCCTTGGCATCGATCAAGCTGTTATCATGCTTTCAATACCGTCGGTACTATCATTGTGAACACTCTTAATGCTGCTTACCGTTGTCATCGCACCGTTGTTTTTTCGAAAAAATCATCACTAACATCATTATCACCGTTATCATCTTTCTCATATCATTACTATCATCACCATGACTATGAAATTTATGATCATTGTGATCATTATGTCCGCATGGTCGATATTACCTTTATCCTCTTTTACGGTTTCTGCAATATCGCTACTACCATCTCTACCTTTATGATCTTCTGGATATATACATTTACATACTTTCATTTTCACCTCTTTTAATCGTTCTTACCATGAATACTCTTTTCTCTACGATTTGGGGGTTTCCTTAGGGGTACCTTATTGGGGTCCTTATGAGAAGGGGATCCTACTATTTGGGGGTCTTTTTTTAGGGATCCCTATTTTCGTAAACCCGCATGTGTTATTGTGACTGCCCAGCCTCTGTTCCTGCGCTGCATCGTCCCGCGGGGTAGGCCCGGGCCACGGGGGACCTGCGCGGAAGCTTCGCGAGTGCTGAAGGCAAGGGACTAGAGGAGGGACCCTTACAAGGGACCTTAGGGGTGAGTTGAAGGCTATTTAGGGGCCACTTAGGTATACAGGGTCGATATAAGGTATATATAGGGGTTATATAGGGGAATAAGATGAACCCTGCTAGGGTCCCTCCTTAGACTTCATGAATTGGTGATGCCTTGCTTCAGAATGTAGAGGCCCAGGTTTTGGCACCCTGGGCCAGCCTGGAGGAAAACTCTATCATATTGGGGTTTAGGGTTTAGGTTTAGGGTTTAGGGTATAGGTTTTAGGGTTTAGCAAAGGCTATGCTACAGATGGCATTGATCATGTTCCGACGCCCCCGAAGGTATTGAGATCTAACGATGGAGTCTGGGGGGATTTTGCCGAGCCACGGTTTGAAGTGCATAGCTAGCTGTGGAATGTCCGACATAGTGTAAACAGTGCTCAAGCGGCCTGCTGCTACCAAGTAGTGGTTCAAGTCACTACATTAGGCGAGTGTTCTTCCTTCTCTCTCTCTCTCTCTCTCTCTCTCTTTCTCTCTCTCTCTCTCTCTCTCTCTCTCTCTCTCTCTCTCTCTCTCTCTTGCTCGGGAAGTCCCCGATTGCCATGCCCAACGATTGAAGAAGCCACGAGGCCCTACTTTCAAACTCTAGGGTTGGGGATTTAGGGGATTAAACTTTAAGCTTTAAACTTCAGGGTTCGGGGTTTAGGGCGTAGGGCTGATGGTTCAGGGTAATGCTTAATCCGCGTTTCCAACGCGCCCCTCAGACCACAACCAGCACGTCTAGGAACGGAGGATGACTGTTCGCATTGCTTCGATGCGCGTCATTGTCACGTGGAGTCCGTGCACAAGGACTTCAGCAAGACACCCTCAAAGTTCCTAGTAACATCCTCACACCCTGTAGGATTGAACTGTGTTTCAGTTCTGCCATTATTAGCCCTCGCCGCGAGTAAAAAACACGGATATGTGCGTTTGAGAACACCCCTTATAAATCTATTTAAGTGTTTTTAGCTATCTATTGAAACTATAACTTACACACTACCTGAGGCGTAATCTCAAAAACGACCCGGACGTGACACAATAATGAGGCTCTCATGCATTCTGACAGGAACATGCCACAGGTGGTCATCATAAGAGCTGAAAGCATCTTCCTCGAGCCCACTGCGAAAGTTGTCGGATCATATGGGCGATTCTTCTCTTCATCCCTGCACGACAACACAATGGCATCGGTAAGGACCTGCAACAGTAACAAGGTCCTAATATTTCAAAGACTCGACATATGAAATCCCTACACTAAATGCCAACTTCCCAACCTTCCGGAAGCTAGGATGGCCCTTTGACGACTTAGCTTACAAGCCAGCTTCGCAGATGACGAGGCCAGTTCTGCGCTGCTGTTCGCAAGTATCTCTGGAATCAAAGACAACCCCTTCGGCCATCTGTTTCTCTGACGCCGTCTGGAAGTCGTATCACGACCTAGCCATCTTCTTCGTCCAACTCAGCGAACAAAAATGACGGTATCCGCGCGCCTTTGATGCAAACTGTACAGTGCATCGCACGAGGCATGTGCTTTGAAACCGCAATATATATAGCCATAGCCAACGGCCACGGACGTGAGTCGGGCTAAGCATATCCTCCTGCTCTCGGTATTCCCCGTGGCTTCAAGATGCTCTCAGCGAGGCAAACCTTGATGACCACTTGCACACACAAAGTCCGTTTTTTGATCTTGTAAACATCCCAGATCCTACTGTAACTGCCAAACTCAAAAACGTAAACCCTATAACCTTGCTTGACTGGGACCACGTGACCTCATACATCTCCTCGAAAGCCGGCTTTTCTGCCAAGCGTTTCACAAACTCTTCCGGGCTAAGTCCTCCTCGCAAAGTCCTGGTCTGTTCTTGGAGGCCCTGCAAGAATCACAACCCGACTTACAAGTTGCTCCGAAACTACGATGAATTTTACCAACAAAATTGCAATCCTAAACCCAAGTAGCTAATGATACTCCCCCAAATACTAACCACATAAACACTATTTTCCAGTTCGGTCTGGGTGCAATATCAGTTGCCGGAATTCCGGAAACTCCTTCCGCTCGCTCAGGCGCAAGATGGACTCCCACTGACGCTGCCTAAGTTCCCCAAAGCTTCATGGAACATATGAAAAATGTATATATATATATATATATATATATATATACATACGCATATACATGTACATATACATATACATATGCATATACATATACATATACATATACATATACATATACATATACATATGCATATGCATATGCATATGCATACAAGGATGTACATATATGTATCTACATATGTACATACACATACACATATATATATATATATATGTATATGTATATAGGAAAAGACGTAATAATAAGAAGAAGAATTAGAATAAAAATCATAATAAGAATAATAATAACAATAAGAATACATACATGCATACGTGCATGCATACATACATATGCAGAAATGTATATAAGGTTGTTCTAGTTGATGCAATGGAGGAACGTAATTTAAGTTACCCTACAGAACAGGACATCTGATTCATATTTTGGGTTCCTTATTTATAAAGAAACCTACAAAACTATACTTCCGAAGCATGGGCCCGCTGCTGGGCCGGACTCTCCATCAAGACTTCCGCTACCCGCAGGCGCACAACCGTCCGAAACGCAGGCAGAAGTTCTGGGTCTGTCACATTGGTCAGCCCGACGTTCCCAGCCTGAATCACCCTTGCGAAGAAGATCTGCCCCTGGACATCGCTGCTGAAATACGCCCTGATCTTGTCCATTGCTTTGGCATCCACTTTGAGGGGAGCTTGTGGAGTGCTCTCTCGAGTTGCATCATCAAGCTCCTCCTTGGCTGCACTTAGGAGGGTAGTAAAAAAACAAAACCTTTAGCTGCCTCATTAAGAAACCCAATTAAACCCAGAAAAGCTAAAGATCTAAAGTTGCAGTAAAGCACCACAAAGTCCTGTTTCATCTCTTTCAAAGTCAGACACTGGCGGGCTGCTCCGCCGTCGAACTTGAGCTTGGAAGGCAACAGCTTGATCTTCTCTCCGGTCTCAAGGGCAACAGCGACTCCTCGGAATCTTCCCGAAAGGGGGTAGCTTCAAGTGAGTAAGTAGCAGGCGGGTACCTCTGTAAAAGATGCCTTAGATAATTATCCCCCTATGAACTTGTAGGTGTCGTTGGGAAATCTCTCCGTGCCAAATTTCATGCCGGGTCAATTTGATCGGCACCCCAAACAATGTATGCCATAACCCTCGCCGTTCATGATGTCCTATAGTCCATATTTCGTTCTGTCCAAGTGTCTTGCAACATTGTCGCAACCATATGTGAAACAAAAAGCCCGCGTTGGCCTGACCCAAAGATGCGTTCAGTACAAGCTCCGGCTTAAAAGGCTTAAAGTTGCAAGGACATAAAGTCCTCCTACTGAACTGCACCGACCCGGACTTCGCAGACCCTGTATGCACTGTATCTTCCAGTCTGATTCAACCATGTCTCGGTCTTCCACGACCATGACAACTCTTGCCGGTGAACCATTGAGGGCTGGCCGTTTCTCGATGCCACTCAGCCTGTAACTCTGCTCACATGCAATTATCGGAGGAAGATTTTCCACGACGATGGGGGCCCTCGCGTTACAGTAAGCCTTCACCAGCCGCAAGACACCTTCCTAGGCAATAATCTATGTTGCTACATTCAACAAACATGAGCAAGACCAACAGTACTTGTATTCAGACGTGCTGAGTGTTGATATGATATCATCAGCGACACTCGAACTCCGCCGACCAGCAGAAATCATCACAAGTTTCAGTCGTGCCAGCCCCTGGCACAAGACTGATGGTCAAAATTGCCGAATCTCAATTGAAATCAAACAATATCATTTCAGAATTAGTCAAGCAATGACAAAAACGAGCCGCATATGCAAGACTATATCGTCGTAGCAGGAGTAGCCGTCATCGTGGCAGCAAACGCAGTAGTAGTCGTCGACGTGGTTGCCGGCGTCGTCGTAGTAGTACTCGTAGTCGTACTAAGAAGAAGAAAGGCAGTTGAGTAGGAGTAGGAGTAGGAGTAGCAGTAGCAGTAGCCGTAGCAGTAGCAGTAGCCGTAGCCGTCGTCGTCGCCGTCGACAAAATTGTCGCAGTCGTCGTAGTAGCCGTCGTAATCTAACAATGGTCGCAGAGGTAGTAGGGGTAATAGTGGTCGCACTGTTAGCACGTAGTTGTGGTTAGCAGTAGTAGTAGTAGTAGTAGTAGTAGTAGTAGTAGTAGTAGTAGTAGTAGTAGTAGTAGTAGTAGTAGCAGTAGTAGTAGTAGCAGTAGTAGTAGTAGTAGTCGTAGTCGTAGTCGTAGTCGTAGTCGTAGTGGTAGTGGTAGTAGTAGTAGTAGTAGTAGTAGTAGTAGTAGTAGTAGTAGTAGTAGTAGTAGTAGTAAGTAGTAGTCGTCCTCGTCGTAGTCGCAGTCGAGTCATCGTAGTAGTACAGTAGTAGTAGTAGTAGTAGTAGTAGTAGTAGTAGTAGTAGTAGTAGTAGTAGTAGTAGTAGTAGTAGTAGTCGTCGTCGTCGTGGTGGTGGTGGTAGTCGTAGTAGTCATTAGTAGTAGTGTAGGAGTAGGAGTAGGAGTAGGATCAGGAGTAGGGTCGTCGTAGTCGTCGTAGTAGTAGTAGCAGTAGTAGTCGTCGTAGTCGTATCCACAGTCGTAGTCATACTAGTAGCACTAGTAGTAGTAGTAGTAGTAGTAGTAGTAGTAGTAGTAGTAGTAGTAGTAGTAGTAGTAGTAGCAGTAGCAGTAGCAGTGGTAGTAGTAGTGGTAGTAGTAGTAGTAGTAGTCGTAATAGTAGTGGTAGTAGTAAGTAGTAGTAGCAGTAGCAGCAGCCATGCGCTCCCTGTGGCGCCTGGTACTTTCTTACCTTCGCACGCCGAAAACGTCGGTATTTACAACACTTCCTGGCTTCGTTGCGTGCGAATGGACACGGCAAATCACGTGCGTTGGAAATTCGCAGCATGCGTGCACATCAAATGCCAAAACATCGGCTTTTCCGACACTTCCTGGATTCCTGGCGTGCGAATGGCAGAGCATCTATGTCCGCACGATGATAACGTCTGTGTTACTAGAGCATCCATGTCCGCACGACGATAACGTCCGTGTTACCATGTCAGCACGACGATAACGTCCATGTTACCAGAGCATCCATGTCAGCACGACGCTAACGTCCGTGTTACCAGAGCATCCATGTCCGCACGATGATAACATCCGTGTTACCAGAGCATCCATGTCCGACGATGAGAACGTCCGTGTTACCAGAGCATCCATGTCCGCACGATGATAACATCCGTGTTACCAGAGCATCCATGTCCGCACGATGAGAACGTCCGTGTTACCAGAGCATCCATGTCCGCACGATGATAACGTCCGTAGTACCAGAGCACGCATCCATGTCCGCACGATGATAGCGTCCGTGTTACCAGAGCATCCATCTCCGTTTCTCTTCACGCCCTCCTTCACTAAGCGCAGGGTGCATCAATGGGCTTTCCGGCAATCCGTCACAGGGGATAGCCCCCAGCGTCTGCGCAAAGCAGTACTTGGAGTGCTCAAGGTGCAGACTCCGTGAGGAAATCAGTGCTTCTTCCCTCCAGCCTCAACTTGCATGTTTACGGTTTAGGGTTTAGGGTTTAGAGTTTCGGGTTTCGGGTTTAGGGTTTAAGATTTAGTCTTGAGGTAGCCATGCCATATCCTGCCTTTCTCCTTCCCAGAGGGGCCAAGCGACAAGCAGAGAATAAAACACCCCTAAACGTCACTGCCAGGGCCATGAGACCAGCAAGCAAAGCATCTCCCTTCAACCTAAAACTTCACTGCCAGGGCCATGACCTTAACCCTAAACTTCACTGCCAGGGCCATGAGACAAGCAAGCAAAGCATCTCCCCTTAACCCTAAACTTCACTGCCAGGGCCATGAGACAAACAAGCAAAGCATGTCCCCTTAACCCTAAACTTCACTGCCAGGGCCATGAGACAAGCAAACAAAGCATGTCCCCCCTAAACTTCACTGCCAGGGCCATGAGAGAAGCCAAGCATACCAAATCCGGCCTTTTCACTTCCGCGGAATAGTTGTCCGAAAAATGGCCTTTTTCCGCTTTTTGACACTAAACCACGAATCCATTGTAAATACCATGCAATTCGGGTGTTGACACGTGCAGTCAGACCAGGCGCCTGGGGGAGCGCTAGCCCCGTAGTAGTAGTAGTAGTAGTAGTAGTAGTAGTAGTAGTAGTAGTAGTAGTAGTAGTAGTAGTAGTAGTAGTAGTAGTAGTAGTAGTAGTAGTAGTAGTAGTAGTAGTAGTACCAGAAGAAGAAGTAGGAGGAGGAGGAGCTGTAGAAGCAGTAGCATCAGGTTTTGCTTGCTTTGGCTTTGAGACGGGTCTTGGTTGTTTCGCAGCTTCTGGCTTCGAAGTTCGCGGGGTTTCTTTGTTTTCTGAGCTTCATGACGCTGACAAAACAGTCTTGAAGCAAGGTTGAACAGCAAGAAAGCGCTCAAAACTCACATGGTAAGCGCGATCGAGTGCCGGAAAACCAGCATGAACTAACATTTCAACAATGGCTCGCCGTGTAGAGAGCTGCGCTGCACAGAGAGCGGCGGAGGAGTCTCAACATGCCTTTGCCATTCAAAGCCCAGTGGCTGCAAATGTAATTTGTGGCTTAGTGATCGTATCTCAAACAGGTCGAGCTAGCCTCTTCTAGCGGCTAGCAGCTCCGGATCTTACTTCCTGGCGTTGGAGAAGGTCATTGGGCGGTTGGCAACGATAGCAGCGACGAGTGGTAGTGCGATTATGGGAACGATCAGTGCCTAAAAGAACTGACACTATCACTAAGAGTGGCATCGTGATGTCACTGCACACCGCAATGCAAACCATAATGTTTGAACTCTGACAATTGCAAGGTGAGCAGCCTGACTGCAGAAGGAGAGTGTCGATTAGCCCTGACGTCCTGCTCGGCAACGATCAGAAAGATGCTATCCACAAGGGAGTCCAGCATTGGCTTGTCATGCATCAAAAACTGGATATGCCTCCGCAACATCTCGTCGGTGGGAGTGACCTCCGGATTGAGCTTCTCGTTGCTGAAAGGCAGAAACTCAGCAGGAAATCGTGCGATGCGCTGGCCCTCTTCCCTGTTGAACGGCTCGTCCACCATTCGACTCAACTGCAACTTGTGCTCCAAAGGGCTTGGCAACAAGTTTGTTGCTTCCGTTCCTATTGAGTAAACAGGGGCACGCTGACGACAACTCACAACCTCACCGTAGCTGCGAAGAGCATAAGCTGGGCCGCAAAGGTCTACATGAATCATTCGCTTGTTGTCCAAGACAAAGCAACACCACCAATGTGGGACCATCTTGCCGATCGGAATGCCCAAGTGTTCTGCTAAACGTCGAAAGCGCTCCAATTCAGCTACTGGCATGCCCGCGGCGATGCCCAGCAGCTGCTGTACTTTAAGTGGCATCGACGCGACAGCTTCTTGGGATGTAGCCGTGTTATACATGCTGGTCGTGAAGAGCTCTTGCGTGTCCGGATCTGCGCACGATAGGTGCACCTGCTCAAACACGCTTGAAGACAGAAAGGCCTTGAACGGTTAGGCTCAGGTGCCTGGTGGCCCATGCCCCTAAATGCCCGGGATTGGGACATCAAACTAAGGTTGAACAATGCTGAAACGATTGCACCATGTGGTCATGCTGGTAATGTTGATACTACTGTCGCTGGGCTAGGCTAAGATAAGCAGGGTCTCTTTGCAAATCGGGCCTCTTCGAGTGGGCTGCAATCGAAAACGCCGTTGACAGCAAAGAAGTTTCTCACCGGCACACCGTCGTGAACCAGGAGGATTCCACGCTCAGCTGTCTTTTGGCAGACCCGAAGGAACTGTGCCGCGATGGTTTGGCAGTGGCAACATCTCTCCAACATCCAGAATCTGTCCAGTCTCTCTTCTGGTGGGAAGACGTCGGATGCGCCATCAAAGGCAGTGTCAGGACTTGCCGGCCCCGGGTCTCGCCGCAGAATGTGGTATCCATGCGGCACCTTCTGATATACCGGATGGGTGACCTTGGATGCAGCCAGCTTCCACGACACCTCTGCTGCAAGGGCTCGTACTTCCATGGAAGGAGGCATGGCTGGTGGAGGGGGTACGGGTCGTGTACGGACTTGAGATCTAAGGCTTGTGTCAGTGGCCTCGGCACTTGAACCACACCTTGAAAACGGCCACGCTGCAAGAGCCGAGGTGATACAACAGCCCAACTCTTAATTCCATGGGATCCCTAGACCCTAAACCCTAAACCCTAAACCCTAAACCCTAGCTCACAGTAGAAGACTGCCAGCTCTGTTGAAACGACGAACCAGCAGGGCTGCACACCAGAAGGTTAAAGTCTCGGTGCCAACTGTACTGACGATACTCACCATCGGTTAGCCAAGAGCTTCAAGAGAAACGGCACTATGGGGATCTGGAAAACATTCAACACAGGCGGATGGGTTCAGTTCACCAAAACCTGAAAAACCTGCGCCTTAAACCCTACCAGAGCGGCCTTAATATTTAGAATAGGTTTTTGCGGCATACTATGCTAGATATATAAGGAACCCTAACAACAATGCAGGTATTGTTGCGGCTTCTATATTGCATAAGGGTTTAGGGTTGACAGAATGTGCCACAACTGGTACTTATATGCCGCGAAGGATCCTATACGTTACAGGTTTTCTGGTATACATCATGCAGACATGAGCAGCAGCGAAACCTCTACACCCGATGAGGCTGAGATGTGTTTGGTCCGGGGCCAGAGTCGGAGGGCACCACTGAACGCAACGTGAAGGTCATCAACGTTAGGGTTGATTGCTGCAGGCTTTCAGGGAGTTCTCTAGACTCTTGCCGGTTTCTGGCCTAGGGTGCTGGTGCTTGAGGTACTATGAACTCGATCAACCTCGGGGTCTATAGTTCTAGAGTCTAAGTTCAGGGTTCAGCGCCCCAAAACCTTGCCGTAGCGATAGACAAACGATGATGAGCGTCATAATCTTCGCACATCGCCATATTGCTTGACAAATACAGGCAAGAAGAATCATATGCTTGAGATATGTTGTAAGTGACAAAATTGACTTTACAAGAGATAACCCAAATCACCGTGATAGCACTTGCAACAACTCAGACATGCTACAAATGGGTGTTCCGGTATTGAGGGGTACCTTCTTGGGGTCCTTCCTCTAAATTAATCTCCTACTATTTGAGGGTGTATATTAGGACCCGAAGTGGGGTGCCCCTAATTATCGTAAACACCCATAATGTCGGAAATCCCCAAATGGACACCCCAAGAAGGGTACCCTTAGTGTCGGAAACCCTAACCCTAAACCCTAAACCCTAAACCCTAAACCCCTAAACCCTAAACCCTAAACCCCTAAACCCTAAACCCTAAACCCTAAACCCCTAAACCCTAAACCCCTAAACCCCCCACATCGCCTCCTGCTCCCGTGCCATGCTTAGCAGGGCTCCGGCAGATGCGAGATGCAAGCCTTGGGTGATGAGGGGTTTAGGGTTTAGGGTTTAGGGTTTAGGGTTTAGGGTTTAGGGTTTCGGGTTTAGGTTTAGGGTTTAGGGTTTAGGGTTTAGGGTTTAGGGTTTAGGGTTTAGGGTTTAGGGTTTAGGGTTTAGGGTTTAGGGTTTAGGGTTTAGGGGAAGGCCAGGGCCCAAGGTTCCTGAGCCCTCCTTTCAAACCCTTAGCTAGCCCTGAACCCCAATTCAAACCCTTAGCTAGCCCTAAACCCTAAACCCTAAACCGTAAACCGGAGGGCTCCAGGCTTTTGCCTGGGGACTCGCAAGGAACCCAAGTGCCGGTTTAGTGTTTCGGGCTCGTGGCTCTTTCGGTGTGGTTGGGGGTTTAGTGTTTAGGGTTTAGGGTTTAGGGTTTAGGGTTTAGGGTTCAGGGTTTAGGGTTCAGGGTTCAGGGTTTAGGGTTTAGGGTTACCCTAAACCCCAGACCTAGAGATGTTGGGAGTTCGATTCTTTGCTCGTCGCGAGCCTTGGGGTGAAGAGTAGGGGCTCCGAGGCGGATGAGTTAGGCGCTAGGATTTAGGGGTTCGGGCCGAGAAGAAGTGCAAAACAGGCTCTGGTTCCAGCGATCATGAGCAAGAAGGTTTCTTAGAATCGCTAGCACCTCGGGGCAAAAACAACTTGGAAAGGAATTGGGTCTAGGAATGTCTAGGGGAGGGGCCTGAGGCATAGCAAGTCGGGATATTCGGGCCATTTGCTCGCGGATCTAGGGTGAAGGGGCACTACACCCTGAACCCTGAACCCTAACTCAGCCAGGTGCGAACGGTCTACAAAAACTTCTTTAAACCCTAAACCTCAATCCTGTGACCCAACAAGAACACGGAAGTTAACGCTTGACACCAAGCCCCACATGGACACCCCCCCAAACCTTCTCAGCGGCGCACCCTAAAACCCTAAACTATCCACCATGCCTTAAACCTCTCGTTCTGAAAGACCTTGTTTTCAACCCTGAACCCTATACAAGTCCTGGCCCCCTGACCACCCCCTACTGTCGCCTTAAACCCAAAACCCTAAATCCTCCATCCTTAACCTAAACCCCAAACCCTAAACCCTAAACCCCAAACCCTAAACCCTAAACCCGAAACCCTAAACCCTAAACCCTTAACCCCAAACCCTAAACCCTAAACCCGTCTCCACATGAAGAGCTGGGGCCCACCAGCTCTGTGGGCTCTCCGGGCGCAAGCGGCTGTCGGAGCTCGCGCGGCTCAACAGCACCATCGGCCTAAGGCTTGGGCTGCAAAGGGTTTAGGGTTTAGGGTTTAGGGTTTAGGGTTCAGGGTTGATGGCTGATGGTTGAGGGGGGTTGAGGGTTGAGGACTTAACCCTGCTACGACTGCTGCGATACAGGTTTAGGGGGCCTAAGGCTTAGGCCTTCGGGGTCAAGCTTGGGTGGTTTTGGGCTTTTTTGGGGGCTCTGGGGTGTTGGGGTTTAGGATCTAGCGGTGCGGGCGCTTGAAGTTCGGGGGCTGTCACTTGCTGGGCAACACAAGTCGTGCCTACGGTCCCTTGTTTTCTTGGGGGCTCTGTCGGGTATAACGCAAACCCTAAACCCTAAACCCTAAACCCTTTGTGACGAGTAGAGCAATTCATTGTTGGAGTGGTGAGCAAGGGGGGGTCTTCTTCTGGACTCAGTGGCCTTCAGATGTAGACCCCGGAGGGGTTGTGTCTGACGAGATATGCCACGCTCAGGACCAGGGCAGCCACCTCATCCCAGAATCCCAGAACCCCAGAATTCAGGAAACGAAGCCGGCACAATCGGCCCAGAAACTACAGCCCTCTCTCTTGAGGGGCATGAGGAGGGACCCCAAAAAAGGGACCCTTACTCTTACTCCCCCAAATAAATCCTAGATAAACCTTTTATAATGCCTAAGTAGCTCCGAGATAAGCCCTCCCTCAATGACCCCTAAGGCCCCATATCAGGGTCCCTACTTTAATCCCTTGACTCTCTGTCTCTCTCTCTCTCTCTCTCTCTCTCTTTGTCTTTCTCCTTCAAGTCTGCCATACCAACGTCGCGGGAGGTCTGCAACTGTCCCTAGGTACAGAACCACGATTAAGCACCGCAGTGACCGCCTCAGTCTCCAAATCCACGTAGAAGCCTATCTTACCCGCGCCGACGCACGAAAGCCCCGGAGGCCTAAATGCTCTGGAACCTCAACCCTGCCCAAAATATACAACGGAACAGACAAGCAGGCGACAAACAACCCAAGGAACACATTGCGGAGACAAGAAAGAAACATCGGTGAATGTATAGATATACATGTATAAATATGCACGCATCTCCAAAAGCACCGAAACATGTTCAACCCGGAAGAACCCTCAACCCAAACCCTTCAACCCCAAACCCTGAAACCCCAAAAACCCTGAACCCTAAACCCTAGACTCTTACACCCTAAGCCCTAAACCCTAAATCCTGAACCCTAAACCCTAAACCCTAAACCTTAAATAGTAAGCCCTAAACCCTAAACCCTAAACCCTAAACCCGAAACCCTAAACCCTAAACCTTAAATAGTAAGCCCTAAACCCAAACCCTAAACCCTAAACCCTAAACCCTAAACCTCGCCTCCATGCGGGTTTCGGCTTTGTGTGCGAAGGCTCCAGGAGCTCCAGCTGCAAGATCTGAGGGGCTCGGGGGGCCCCGGTGTTTGGGGTTTAGGATTTAGGGTTTAGGGTTTAGGGTTTGGGGTTTAGGGTTTGGGGTTTGGGGTTTAGGGGTTTTTTTGCTAGGGCCCTGTGCGCCAGTCCGCGCGCTTTGGCGTCTTCTCCGAGTGGAGGGTTTCTCAGCTCCTTGTGGATTAGGGCGTACCTATAATGAGGTCAGGGTTTAGGGTTTAAGGTTCAGGGTTTAGGGTTTAGGGTTTAGGGTTTGATGCGAAGCATTTGGGCCCAAACCCTGGACCCAAGCGCCATGAATGAGGGATACTGGAGGAATGTCGGATCAGAAAGGGACCCTTCGTCCTACTACCCCCATACACTGCCTAGATGTACCTTACGTACTATGTACCTTTCAAAACCGTTACACCCCTGAACCTCCACAAACATGACAAAAGCCCAGATTCCTCAAAACCTGGGTTTATGTAAAGGATTAACGCCCCAAGCGTCAGATTTCAATCTCTATAGGGCGCTTCAACCCCGAACCAAAGCTCAGTTCCAAAGGGCCCGTTATGGGGCCCTTGATCCTCCCAACCTCATAAATTCCAGGTTTCCAAGAATGGGCCCTGAAACTGGGTCCCTTGTCATACAACCTTTACAAGCACCAGATTTCATGAGGGCCCCTGCTTCGGATCACTGTAAACAAGGGTAAGGGAACCTTAGATAGATCCACCCTTATGCCTTTTGAACCCCAACACAACCTCTCAAGACTGCAAACCTTAAACACAGCGACTCTCCAGCCGACAAGAACGCATAAGCCGACAGATTCGGACCCTGAACTTGGAGCCCTACTTTACGGTTTAGGTTTGGAAACCCTCAACCCTAAACCCTAAACCCTTATAGGGTTTAGGGCGTCCTGGGGTCCTGGCGTCTTGGGGTTAGGGTTTTCGGTTTAGGGTTTCGAGTTTGGATCTTAGAG